AGGACGGTCTCCTGCGGAGTCTCCTTCATCTGGCAAGTGGGGTCGTTTTGGGCTCAAAACCCAACTTTTGGGGCAAAATCCATCTTTTGGGGGCCAAACCCCACCTTTTGGGGGCCAAAACCCACCTATTAGTGGCCAAAACCCAACTTTTGGGAGCCAAACCCCACCTTTTGGGGGCCAAACCCCACCTTTTGGCAGCCAAAACTCACCTTTTGGGCCAAAACACATCTTTTGGGGGGCCAACCCCACCTTTTGGCGGCCAAATCCCATCTTTTTGGGGTCAAACCCATCTTTTGGCGGCCAAACCCCACCTATTAGTGGCCAAAACCCACCTTTTGGGGGCCAAACCCCACCTTTAGGGGCCAAATCTCATTTTTGGGGGGTCAAAACCCAACTTGTGGGGGTCAAAACTCACCTTTGGGCAGCCAAACCTCACCATTTGGTGGTCAAACCCCACCTTTGGGGGCCAAACCCCCACCTTTTTTAGGGGCCAAATCTCATTTTTGGGGGGTCAAAACCCAACTTGTGGGGGTCAAAACTCACCTTTGGGCAGCCAAACCTCACCATTTGGTGGTCAAACCCCACCTTTGGGGGCCAAACCCCCACCTTTGGGGTCAAACCCCATCCTTTTGGGGTCAAAACCCAATTTGTGGGGGTCAAAACTCACCTTTTGGGGGCCAAACCCCACCCTTTGGGGGCCAAACCCCCCATTTTTGGTCCCCACTTGACCATGCCTGGTGGGTTTTGGGTTGAAACGTCGGGTTTTGGGGTCAGGTTCTCCACCAGCTTCGCCTACTACGGGCTGGCCATGGATCTGCAGGGCTTCGGGGTGGACATCTACCTGAGCCAGTTGATCTTCGGGGCTGTGGACATCCCGGCCAAGCTGGCCTCCGTGGTGGCCATCAGCTGTGTGGGCCGGCGGGTGGCCCAAGGTGGCTCCTTGGCACTCGCTGGCATCTGCATCCTTGCCAACATCATCGTGCCAACGGGTGGGCACCGGGAGGGATGGAGGAATGGTGGGAGGGGTGGAGGACAATGGGGTGGAGGATGGAGGACAATGGGATGGAGGAATGGAAGACAATGGGATGGAGGAATGGAAGACAATGGGATGGAGGACAATGCGATGGAAGATGGAGGGATGGAGGACAATGGGATGGAGGATAACGGGATGGAGGAATGGAGGACAACGGGACGGAAAATGGAGGGATAGAGGACAGTGGGACAGAAGATGGAGGGTGGAGGACAATGGGATGGAGGATAGAGGGATGGAAGACAATAGGATGGACGACAATGGGATCGAAGATGGAGGACAATGGGATGGAGGACAATGGGATGGAGGAATGGAGGACAATGGGACGGAAGATGGAAGACAATGGGATGGAGGATGGAGGACAATGGGATGGAGGATGGAGGACAATGGGGTGGAGGAAGATGAGGTAGAAGAGTTGGAGGGACGGAGGGTGGAAGGATGAAGGTTGGAGGATGATGGGATGGAGGGACGGAGGGTGGAAGGATGAAGGTTGGAGGATGATGGGATGGAGGGACGGAGGGTGGAAGGATGAAGGTTGGAGGATGATGGGATGGAGGGACAGAGGGTGGAAGGATGAGTGGAGGTTGGAGGGATGGAGGGAAGTGGGAGGAGAGACGAGGGCGGGAGGACGTTGGGGGTGCACCGGTGGGACAGCAGTGGAGATCAAAGAGTCATCGGAGGGACTCGGGACATTTGGGTGTGGGGGTAGATGGGGTTGGAGGACCCTTCGAGGAGCCGGTGAGGGGCTGGAGGTGTGAGACCTCCCAACCCCCGCCCCAGAGCTGCAGATGCTGCGCATGGCCTTCGCGGTGATTGGGAAGGGGTCGTTGGCCGCCTCCTTCAACTGCGCCTACATCTTCACCGGAGAGCTCTTCCCCACCGTCATCAGGTGGGTGGTTGTCACTTCCCGGGGCTGCCGGCCCCACCGCCCTCCCTCCGGCCACTCATCCGTCTGCCAAAGTCATCTCCCACCCATCAAACCACCCACCCGTCCATTGACCACCCCATCAACCCACCCACCAACTTCACAGTCCAACCACTCATCCATCCATGAGAAAATCATTCCATGTACCGGTCCATCCATCCACCCGATCACCTCTCCACCCATCCATCCACCATCAACCCCTCCAGCCATCCAACCACCTCTCCAGCCATCCATCATCAACCCCTCCAACCCGTAAGCCACCCATCTATCCATCCAAAATCTCGTCATCCATCATCAACCGCTCCAACCCTCATCTAATCCGTCCACCAAGCCCTCCAACCCTCAACCCAGCCATCCAACCACCTCTCCATCCATCCATCCATCAACCCCTCGAACCATCTATTCAACACCTCCAACACTCAACTCATCCATCCAACCACCTCTTCATCCATCCATCCATCATCAACCCCTCCAACCCCCAACCCATCCAACCATCTCTCCATCCATCAACCCCTCCAACCCTCATCCATCAACCCCTCCAACCCTCAACTCATCCATCCATCCATCCAACCACCTCTCCATCCATCCAAGCCCGCCAACCCTCATCCCATCCATCCATCCAACCACCTCTCCATCCCTCCCTCAAACCATCAATCCATCAACCCCTCCAACCCTCAACTCATCCATCCATCTCTCCATCCATCCATCATCAACCCCTCCAACCCTCATCCATCAACCCCTCCAACCCTCAACTCATCCATCCATCCATCCAACCACCTCTCCATCC